AGCCACCTGCAGGGGTAAACAAAGTAAAACATGACATGAAAAATAAACTAAACATGGTCCGGAATAAAAATTTTAAAAAATGTGCTAAACATCATGGAAACATTAGGGAGAAGAGATGACAGATTTCAGCTCAATGTGGCTGCAGCAGGAAACTAAAGAAGCTTAAATAAAATACTAGTACAAGCATAAACAGATACAAACATGAAATTCAGTCTGCATATTTAAAAAAAAAAAAGTGTTGAGAAATGAGAAAGTGTTGCTGTACTGAAAAACTTGATTTATTTATTTAACACTTGGCTCAGAAATCTTGTTTGTTTGAAAGATGCATTCAATAAGACCTGCATTGAGTTTACTTGATGTTTCTGACAATTTGCAGGGACATAAGCAAAGATATTTTCCCACGTCTTCTGGTGTACTGGGCATATTTTTTTTTAGACCAATCGGCACTCGGTGGGTAATGTGGTCGGCATCATGCCGGTGGTTTTTACTTCCCAGGACCTTAATTGGTACCCATTTAAGGATGGGTCGACCTGGGAGGCGAGGTCATTAAAATAAAGTTTGTAGAGACATGGGAAAGGATAATCAAGTAGACTACGGCTAAGGAAAGTTTGTGAGTTCTGTCTGTTTACAGGGGACACAAACTTTTTAATATGCAGAGAGAATGAAGATAAAGGTGGTGGGGCAGAGAGAGAGAGAGAGAGAGAGAGAGAGAGAGAGAGAGAGAGAGAGAGAGAGAGAGAGAGAGAGAGAGAGAGAGAGAGAGAGAGAGAGAGAGAGAGAGAGAGAGGTGAGAAGGGAGATCACACGCCGCCGAGTCGATAAATATAGGCTGTAATGTGTCCCCACCCCCACATATCATCAGACTTATGGGTTAAGCCAGTGTTCATGTCTCGCCGTATCTATATGGCTTAACTATCCGGGTATTTGCCCGAAAAAGACCGACTGTCTTATTCAGTTTAGGACTTTCATCTGTCTCAAGGAGGACTGTCTCGTTGTTTTCTGTTTATTTTTATATTAACCATTCAATGATATTTCTGCATTTTTCTTTAAAAAAAAAAAAAAAAAAAAAAAAAAAAAAAAAAAAAAAACACACACACACACACACACACACACACACACACACACACACACACACACACACACACACACACACACACACACCTGCTGTGAGTAAATGTTTTTCAGCTCTTTTGCAAACTAAAAGGGAGCCGACGTGGTCTAGCGATTGTTGTGTTGCTGCGGATCGGAAGGTCGTGGGTTCGGTTCCTGACGATGGCCGCATTTTTTTTCTGCAAAAATGACACTGGCTCCCAGGTCAACACCGCCTGGAGTGGGTACCAGGTACATTCCTGGGAAGTAAAGGCGGCCGGCGTGATAGTGACCACACCACCCACCAATAGCCGTTTGGGCTATAAAATACAGGCCTAGCCCTATATACCCAATACGCCTGAAAGGCGTGGAAAAGGGTCCTTTACTTTACCCTGCAAAAGCGTACATTTTGAAACGAACTTCCTCAAAGTTATTAATGCTGTGCACAATGCTCACTTTTTATCTAACTCAAAGAACACGTTCACACTGTTCACTTTCACGGAACAGATTTACAAAAAAATAATTGATGACCTTCAAATAAACTTCAAATGAATCCCCGCCGCGACTCACAGAATCAGAAGGTAATCAGATTATCGGCTACCTTAATGCCAAAATAACAATTTCCAGTTTTGCTCTGACAGTTCAGGCTTCTTGATAAACTGATTTCTGTGACGATTAGACTCTTGCGCTAAATTCGCTATCATTACATCTGAATTAACTGTTGTGTTACCACCACGCCGCGCCACTCACAGAATCTAAACGTAATCAGATCATCGGCTCCCTCAATGCCACCATAAGAATTTCAAGAGTTGCGCTGACGTTTCAGTTCTCTTGATTAATTGTCTATCGACTGCAACTAGCCCGGCACGCTAGCTAAGTTGGTAAAACCAGCTGGGTGGCGACCGGGTAACAAACTCCTTGTGGTCCGTGTTCACGCTCGGTAATAGGCAGAAAATGCACATATTTTCGCAGATTTATGGTATCTATCAAGGAATCAAGGCCGAAGGGTTGCGATATCCATAGTACCGAGCCAAAGGGTTTACAACTCATGGTTTCTGGATTGAAGGGAAAAAAACTGGCATCACCAGAGACCTTTCCAAGACCAGGAAGACCCAGGGTAACCATACTTAGGCAGGGCGGATTTGCAGAGATCATTTCCAGTCAGCTCAAAGAAAAATGTACAAATAAATGCACCACAAATTTGCAGACATGTCCTTTTAAGCACTGTTTGTACGCTATTTGAGGGATTCAAACATAGGTCTACTTCGGTCTTTCAGACTTCAGCCAGGCCAGACCCAGAAAGACTTCAGCCAGGCCAGACCTAGAAAGACTTCAGCCAGGCCAGACTCAGAAAGACTTCAGCCAGGCCAGACCTAGAAAGACTTCAGCCACGCCACACCCAGAAATACTTCAGTGGTAAAATTTTCACGTCAGATGGCATCGAAAGCCATGACAGTCTGATATTGTCGTAGACGAGTCAAGATTAATCACGGAAAGGCATGACTGCAGAATCAGGGTGCACAGACGTACACATGAGCGATACGCTCATAACTGTATAACTCCATGGGGGGAGGGGGGGGGGTCGCCTTTTCTTCCCAGGACTGTACCTGGTACCCACTCAAGATATGTGGGGGTGGGGAACATTACAGCCTATACTTATATATATATATATATATAAGTATATATATATATATATATGAGCGTGTGTATTTATGTCGCATGGTCTCTACACATTGCCCAGGATTTGTTTTATGGAGAGGAACACCTTAAATCTCGGGCCTTAACTACCCATCGCCATGATCTGTGACTGCCACAACTTCATACAGTATAACACTGTCGTATGCATGTATGACACTGACCCAAAGGTTGACTGTTCAAGTGCCCAGTTTTCACAAATAAGATCAACGCAACAAATAGGAAGGAAATTGTTTGTTATCCCCCGACTCCACTACCATTCCATGCCCTGTCATTAGTTTTAGTTAATTGGCGTTTCCTTTCCCAAAATTAACCACGAGACCATACAACTGAATCTAAAAGTATGGTCTGGTAATCAAGTCTAAACAATCTTAAAATAGACGAAAAAGTGTGAGCATAATTAAATCATTGAATTTTCGGAGCTTCTCTAGCAGCATGCCTCATTTCTAGAGTAAACACTTATGCCGTCCACTATGTTCCGCCTTCCATCAGGGGCGTTGAAACTTTAGGAAGCTGAGGTGTTTCAGGCTCCTTGATGCTCCCCCCCCCCCCCCCCCAATCTCTCCTCAGGTGGCCGCCAAATCATGTATCACCATCAACCAGCAGGTGGTTTAAATAACGTCGCTTTCGTCACGGCACGCCTGAAAGTCTCTCCTTCTCTAGCCAATTATCCAGCCCAATGTGCTTTCTTAGCCAATGCACCCCATTGTCTTCTATCCACATTTGCGACGGCCTGCTTCTGTTTCGTCTTTCAGAAACTGAACCCTGAATCACTGCTCTGTCCAGGTCACCAAGACGTTTAACATGGCCAAAATACCGCAGCTTTCGGGACTTGATGTATAGCAGCGCTTTATTAAGTATTTATTTACATTTTTAATATTATTTAAAATATTTTATATTTATCTGCCCGTGAACACATTACTATTATTACGCACTTGAGAAAGACTTAGTCAAGGGGTTAACAAAACGGCTGTCATTGGCTGAGGCACCCCACTCCATGTTTTTGTGTCAGCGCTCCCTTGTGCCCCTCTCGCTCTATTCTATGAATCCATCCACCCATCCGTATCTGCCTACTTACCTAATGAATGCTCTCCTCACAGAGGCGGTTTACATTATCTATTTATCTTCTTCTTCTTTCTTCATTACCATCTTTTATTCTTCTTCCTCTTTTTTTTTCTTCTCCTCCTCCTCCCCCCTTATTCTTCTCATAAATGGGTGGTGGAATGTAGCGTCATGATGTACAGTTAGGCTGTGAAATCTGCGGTTCAGACATCCACCAGCAAGTTGTTGCTATAACCATTGTCTGGGCCTGAGTTGCTAAAATACTAACACCGTGGGGTTGCCAGAATTAACATAACAATGTGTGTAGCATGGTTCAATGTAACAACTAGATGGGCCATAAGAGGCTGAAACAAGTTTATCATGCAGAAACCAACAAAAGAACGGCAAGTTACGTGAATGTGTTGCAAGTATCTACTTATATTCTGCAATTTTTGGAAAAGATCATATAAAAAGGGAAAAGGGGGGGGGGGGGGGGGGGTGAGAGAGAAAGAGAGGGAGACAGAGAGAGAACAAGGAATTCAGAAAGGAAGAAGAAAAAGAGAAAGAAAGGAATTGCAGTTGATATGAGAGAGAGAGAGAGAGAGAGAGAGAGAGAGAGAGAGAGAGAGAGAGAGAGAGAGACAGAGAGAGAGAGGGGGAGAGAGAGAGACACACATCCCAGAGATACCAGAACCTATGGGCTTATGCACCCTGTGGCCTTTCCACATCGGGGGGGGGGGGGGAAGCTTTAAAAAGGCAAGAGGCCAAACTGACCCCCCTTCCCATGCCCCCAATCCCCCACAATGTGCAGATATTCTCTTTCAGTATTTGTTTAAATTCTTTATATTATTTTCAAATATATTTTTATATTTATTTGTAACTCAGTGCATTACAAATGATAATAATTATTATTACACAGTTAAAACAAGGATTAACGCCACCTCCCGTTGATTGCCCCCACAAAATTATCAACAGCTAAGCGCAACCCCCCCCCCCCCCCCCGGGAGAAAAATTTCTATGTGGACGCACCCCTGTTGTACTCTGCATATCTATAAGACAATGAATCATAATTATGGCAACATAAGTGAAACAATTATTGTAAAAGTGTAACCATGCTGCTGACTCAGTCTGTAGACTATAGTCCACAACCACACGAAGACAACACTGGCACTCACCTCAGACTGCGGGACCTTGGCCTCAGGTTGGCGTGCAGGTGAAGGTCACTGTCGTCGTGAGACGTCGGCACGTTCTCGGAGCTGCCGAAGTGGCTGGACAGGAAGTGCAGCTCCTCGGCCGTGGGTTGGGAGGGGAACTGGTGCAGTCTCTCCTGGGAGGAGTAGCGTGACTGCGGGTGAGATGAGGGGAGGAAGAGGTGAAACTGAGGAATGTCGTGAAGGCTGGATGGCTGCTGCTGTTGTGCATGGGTGATGGTTCAATGAATAGGTAGGTGGTAGTGGTTCGATTGTAGCAAAATGAGGCCCATGACAATGATATGGTCAATGTTGTGATACTTATGACAACAGCAAAAACGTAACCCTGCCCTAAATATAAAGACCGACATTTGCTCACACTCATGATATACCAGGCAACTCTTCACAGGGGCTGAGCTGAGCCGAGTTAGTAACTACCATCACAGCACTCGGGATATTCCTATACGCGCTCCGTCCTCATCTTTAAAAGCCAGCTTCTGCTTCTTCTTCTTCTTCAATCCTTCTGTCAGAAAACTTATATCAGGAGGCCGGTAGCCTTTATGAAAACTACCATACAGTCCATTTCTTCTCGTGTACCACACAGCTTTGTCTTCATTGTGGTTGGAACAGGCCAGATTGCGTCTCTGTTGTCAGCATACATTTGACCGTGTTGGAGCACATGCTCAGCATTTTCGGGTACCACGCTGCAAGGACAAGTCTCCATGTTTCCTACACCGAAAAGTTTGAACATATATGTTAACAAAGTCTTTTGTGCCCAGTTCTTAGTCTGAATATAATACACTGTATCTCTCTAGAGACGCGATAAAGCGAGTCTTGGGGAGAGAATATGTTGTGTGTATCCAGCCATATTTCTTGCGCAGAGTTTTAATTCCAATAGCAGTTTAGCAGTTTGTATGTCCGACCGGTCTCTCTTCTGAGTGCTGAGTGTCCGCCAGATTGCCAGGTGACGCCACGCTTTATCATTTTGTTCAGACCGTGCATTGTGTGTATGTGTGCCTCCGCACTGTTCACTCGCCTCAAAATGGACGTGAAAACATCTAGTTTGTCATGCACAAATTTACCACCAAGAAGAGCATAACCAGCCAGTTTTTTGTGTGTTACACGAGTGATTCCCAAACTGTGCGCCGCGGCGCCCAGGGGGAGCCGCGACCTCTTCACAGGGGCGCCACGAAATATTCTAAACACTTCATAATTGATTTAACCAAGACACGGTTAGGTTAGGGCGCCGTGGATAAATTTTAATTTAAAAAAAAAAAAAAAAAGGCGCCGCGTCCAAGAAAAGTTTGGGAAACACTGTGTTACACAGAACACCTGCATATCCTGGAGAAAATACACGAGTCGGGCTGCAACACAGCAATAGGTTTCTCGCTAGTCGCGTGCTAACAACATAGCTCTATTAAGTCCCAGGACTAACCAGCGGACCCTAAGACCTCAACCAGGTGACCCCAAGCCATCTGAAAGACCTGCTCATGACTGGTTGAACTTTGCAGCTTCTTTTCTGCGAGATAAGAAAATCAGTCTCGACCAGTCCTTCCTTTCGCCTCTTACGGCACATAAAGAGCGTTCACCTGAAACCCCTTCCAGCGTTTCATTACAAAAGTATGCTGTTTAAAAAAAGCATTAATTCTAAATGAGTTATGCACCCTAAAGTCGCCCTAGCCATTCAGGCAAATACCCCATTGCTAAGATAGGCGGTGAATGCCGTCCGCAAAAGACAAAAAAGGATTGTGGTTGCCCACTAATCTATGCGTTCATCCTAAAGAACGTCGTTAAAATCCCGCATGAGCGGATTTAAAATAACGCTCCTAATAAATAGTGGTTTACAGCACTATTTATTAAGGAACACTCCTACAGCACTATTTATAAAGTAACGCTCCTACACCACTATTTATTAAGGAACGCTCCTACAGCATTATTTATTAAGGAACGCTCCTACAGCACTATTTATTAAGGAACGCTCCAACAGCACTATTTATTAAGGAACGCTCCTACAGCACTATTTATTAAGAAACGCTCCTACAGCACTATTTATTAAGGAACGCTCCTACAGCACTATTTATTAAGGAACGCTCCTACAGCACTATTTATTAAGGAAAGCGCCTACAGCACTATTTATTAAGAAACGCTCCTACAGCACTATTTATTAAGGAACGCTCCTACAGCACTATTTATTAAGGAACGCTCCTACAGCACTATTTATTAGGGACCCTCCTACAGCACTATTTATTAAAGAACACGCCTACAGCACTATTTATTAAGGAACGCTCCTACAGCACTATTTATCATGAAAAACTCCTACAGCACTATTTATTAAGGAACGCTCCTACAGCACTATTTTTTAAGGAACGCTCCTACAGCACTATTTATTTTCTTGCCTGATGTAAGTGGGCCCATAAGAACCGGAACTCTGTGCTGGGTGTCGACGATGGACATGGAGAGCTAGCTGTTGGGAAATGGAGAGCTAGCTGTTGGGAATGGAGAGCTAGCCGAAGGTAATTGAGAGCTAGCTGTTAGGAAATAGAGAGCTAGCTGATGGAAATAGAGAGCTAGCTGTTGGGTAATGGAGAGCTAGCTGTTGGGAAATGGAGAGCTAGCTGATGGGAATGGAGAGATAGCTGTTGGGAATGTAGAGCTAGCTGTTGGGAATGGAGAGCTAGCTTTTAGGAAATGGAGAGCTGGCTGTTGGGAATGGAGAGCTGGCTGTTGGGAATGGAGAGCTAGCTATTGGGAAATGGAGAGCTGGCTGTTAAGAATGGAGAGCTAGCTGTTAAGAAATGGAGAGCTGGCTGTTGGGAATGGAGAGCTGGCTGTTGGGAATAGAGAGCTAGCTGTTGGGAAATGGAGAGCTAGCTGTTGTAAAATGGAGAGCTAGCTGTTGGGAATGGAGAGCTAGCTGTTGGGAATGGAGAGCTAACTGTTGGGAATGTAGAGCTAGCTGTTGGGAATGGAGAGGTAGCTGATGGGAATAGAGAGCTAGCTGTTGGGAAATGGAGAGCTAGCTGATGGGAATGGAGAGCTAGCTGTTGGGAATGTAGAGCAAGCTGTTGGGAATGGAGAGCTAGCTTTTGGGAAACGGAGAGCTGGCTGTTGGGAATGGAGAGCTGGCTGTTGGGAATGGAGAGCTAGCTGTTGGGAATGTAGAGCTAGCTGTTGGGAATGTAGAGCTAGCTGTTGGGAATGGAGAGCTACCTGTTGGAAAAGGGAGAGCTAGCTGTTGGGAAATGGAGAGCTGGCTGTTGGGAATGGAGAGCTGGCTGTTGGGAATGGAGAGCTAGCTGTTGGAAAAGGGAGAGCTAGCTGTTGTGAAATAGAGAGCTAGCTGTTGGGAATGGAGAGCTAGCTGTTGGGAATGTAGAGCTAGCTGTTAGGAATGGAGAGTAGCTGTTGGGAAATGGAGAGCTGGCTGTTGGGAATGGAGAGCTGGCTGTTGGGAATGGAGAGCTAGCTATTGGGAAATGGAGAGCTGGCTGTTGGGAATGGAGAGCTAGCTGTTGGGAATGGAGAGCTAGCTGTTGGGAAATGGAGAGCTAGCTGATGGGAATGGAGAGCTAATTTTTGGGAATGGAGAGCTAGCTGTTGGGAATGGAGAGCTAGCTGTTGGGAATGGAGAGCTAGCTGTTGGGAATGGAGAGCTAGTTGTTGGGAATGGAGAGGTAGCTGATGGGAATAGAGAGCTAGCTGATGGGAATAGAGAGCTAGCTGTTGGGAAATGGAGAGCTAGCTGATGGGAATGGAGAGCTAGCTGTTGGGAATGTAGAGCTAGCTGTTGGGAATGGAGAGCTAGCTTTTGGGAAACGGAGAACTGGCTGTTGGGAATGGAGAGCTGGCTGTTGGGAATGGAGAGCTAGCTATTGGGAAATGGAGATCTGGCTGTTAAGAATGAAGAGCTAGCTGTTGGGAAATGGAGAGTTGGCTGTTGGGAATGGAGAGCTGGCTGTTGGGAATGGAGAGCTAGCTGTTGGAAAAGGGAGAGCTAGCTGTTGTGAAATGGAGAGCTAGCTGTTGGGAATGGAGAGCTAGCTGTTGGGAATGTAGAGCTAGCTGTTGGGAATGTAGAGCTAGCTGTTAGGAATGGAGAGTAGCTGTTGGGAAATGGAGAGCTGGCTGTTGGGAATGGAGAGCTAATTTTTGGGAATGGAGAGCTAGCTGTTGGGAATGGATAGCTAGCTGTTGGGAATGGAGAGCTAGCTGTTGGGAATGGAGAGCTAGCTGTTGGGAATGGAGAGCTAGCTGCTGGGAATAGAGAGCTAACTGTTGGGAATGGAGAGCTAGCTGTTGGGAATGGAGAGCTAGCTGTTGGGAATGGAGAGCTGGCTGTTGGGAATGGAGAGCTAGCTGTTGGGAAATGGAGAGCAAGCTGTTGGGAATGGAGAGCTAGCTGATGGGAATGTGACGAGAGTTCTGATGTCGGTTGTCAAGTAAACTCAATTATTCTTTGCTTCTCTGACTAGAACTAAAATGTCCTAGCGATTGTATAGACATCTCATTCCGCAATGAATCATTTTGAAACAAAATATAAACATAATCAGGAGAAAAAGATGTAACAGTTTCTCCCCGTATTCCACGTCAATAAAAAAAATAAAAAAAAGTTTACGACATAATGTAAAGCAACAAGGCACAGTTGATGTTCTAATAATTATGCGTAGTTTTAACAGGGTTGTGGAAATCAGACACCCAGAGGAAACACAAAATTGAATCAAGAATGACGACATGGATAAAAAAAAAACACACACACACACACACACACGCACGCACACACACACACACACACACACACACACACACACACACACACACACACACACACACAACAGCAAAAAACAAATGAATAAAAAATGAAATTAGCGTTAAAAACTCCGAACAAACAAGCTAGAGGGCAGAAAGCAGAGGAAATGATTAAAACCCGGTCTACGACACAAACAAGGCCCTTGATTAATGTAATCACTGGAACGTATGACAAATCTCCGGTGAGGAAATCCTAAAAGGTGCTGGGCAAGGTGACATAAGACGGGCAGTAGAATAGCGCCAATCAGTGGGGGATCTAATTATCTCACTCAGAACATAAAGGCTGCGACTACAAGGTTGAACGCTCGCACCACAGGTTACTGCTGCAAAGGCCTGGTGTTTGATTATCGGCGCTTTGGTTCCGTTTACCTGGACTGTGAAA